CAGGAATCTAAACTCATGTATAATTTTCAGCACTTTAGTCACTCCGACGTTCTAGTCTTACTCCTCAGCTTTGCAGGGCTAGATCTTTGCAAAGCTCTTTGCAAGACAATGTTGGATTTCTACAGTCCAGCCATGTCAGTTGTCAGTATCACAGTACTTACTGAGTTAATGAGTGTTTCTTGCAATAGAAAGCATGTCCTTCATATGCTTTTAGTTATGTGGGAATTGAGCAACTCTTGTTTAAGTCATGGAGATCCTCATATTTGTGTTGATGAAAACGAGAATCTGTCCAGGAAAATATTTTCAGTGGCTGAACAGAATGACTAAATCCAGGCAAATTTGCTGATATCAGCATTAAATGGGATTTTTTTTTTTTTTAATGTCAGCTGGCTCAAAGGTGAGTAGTCATGTGGTCAGGGAAAGGCCTTACAAAGATTTCAAGTACATAAAACCTGAAATTAAGATTAAAAAGAAATTAGATGATCTGGGGACACACTTCAGTCATATACTCCATGACTGTGTTGGTTTTACATCATTGTACAAGCTGTTTTTTCTTTCGGTGATGTCATTAACATGATTTTCAGAAGTGTTAGTCCTTTTTAATGCTTCCAACAGGAAATGCATTTAAACAAAAATAATATTTGAAAGGGGGCTAACTTATTATTTTGTGCCCTTTAGAATATCTAGGGTATCAAGGGATGTGGGAATTATCAGAACTGATCCCAGTTCATGCAAGCTGCCATTGGTGATACTGCCGCACATCTCTTATGTGCTTAAAAAAAAAATTTGAAATGGGCAATACTTATTTCTGTGAATCAAATAACAACACTATGTTAAGAAAAATTAGACATCATTATTCCATAAATTCAAAGGAAAAATAAATAAACCAAAGATTAGTTGATTTGAAGCTAAATTTTAAAGGCAACTACTTTTAGAAATAAAGCTTTATTGGCTACATCACCCACACTATAAGGTTAGTAGTTTGAATACTGAAAGTTGCCCTGGTCTTATGTTAGTGTCTCAAAAAGCTTTGGAACAAGTTCATTAAAAATAAGATGCATTGGAGTAACGTTAGCCTCCTCTGCTGTTCTTATTTTTCAGTAATATTTGGTGAAGATGTGGCCTTTGGTGGAGTCTTCAGGTGTACAGTTGGCTTGCGAGACAAATATGGTAAATTAACTTTTAAATCTGACATTTTGATATTGGCATCTCTGTTCTTTTGTACCCTTCTGTGGTTTGTGGGAGAAGAGAAGAACGCATGGGAGAGAAGCCCTGTAAATGGACTTTTGTTTTCCTTTCTGTCCTTGGAAAGAGAAAAATGTTGAATGTATTACCAGTTATGTAAGCTTTCAAAGCTTTCGAAACTTGCTGACAGAATCTCAGGATTCTTCTCTTTATTCAACTAACTTTATCAATGTAACTTTATATTAACTGCAGTTGGACCAGATATTCATCATGTGGCCCCATTTAATTACTGTAATCAAATTAAAGCCTCTTAGCAACGACACATGGTGATGCTCTTTTGTCCCATCTGTCAAGAAGTGAAAGAATTACATTAAAATGGATTTAAACTCTGGAGGACATGAGTTACCGTCCACTTGGAGATCACCATGATCGACTTCTTTCTTTTGGATGCTTCTTTCTTTTGGAGTGACCCAAAAAAGGGAGAGGAGAAAGGCTATACTTTTAAGAAGTTTTAGAAACATAGCCACATTTTGTTGCCTTGTTTTTCTGCTTCAATTATTTTGTGGATGTTTTCTCATACTCTGTTTTATATGTTAATGTTCAAATAGTTTGGATAGGACTTTTATTAGCAGTAATCATTAGTGCTGCATGTTGAGGTTAAGAGTTCTGTAACTCCACTTTAAAAGACAAAAGGAATAAATTTTATATTGTTAGGCTGTTGCTTTGAGGGTAGCTTGTTGGTTTTCTTTGATGTAAGAAAGCAATACAATATTGGAATGAAGGAAAGACATTATTTAATTCCTGTAGTAGTATTTTATTGATGATGTATTCAAAAGTACTAGTGCTGTTCAAAGTCTTTGTGATAGCCCCTGCCCCACTTGCAAAGGCACTGCTGAGTGCAAAGAACTGTTTACGCTGAGTTGGTCAGTATAATAAACAACCACAGCACATCAGCAGCTTAGCTAGAATCAGGTTTATTTTGTTGGTATAACAACAACAGATTTTAAATAAGATCTTTTAATAAGGTAAGTAATTCATGAAATGACTTTGGAAATATTTGAAAAGAACTCCTTTAAACTATGAGAAGTAACATGAGAAACTGTGGAAGTACTTAGTTGAAGGGCTAATGAAAGCTACTATCGCAATGTGTTCAAAAAGGATACTGATCTCTTTATGGAAAATAAGAGGATAGTTTTGATAAGCAAAAACTAGGTAGTACTCTTGTTTCATGTGACTGTAAAATACAGTGGGTGGGTACATAAAGTGCTCGTAAGATCAAATTAACAAGGTACAGAACTGTCTCTTCACATTCATTCAGACCATTACAAAGATTATATTTGATAGGGGAAAGTGTGTTAGATAAGGAGAGATTTGAAAAGATTTTGCTGTTTTCCTGCTTAAATAAAAATAAGTTTGTCTTACAGATTCATTACAGAAAGATCTTCCTAAGATCCATTTGTCCTGCAGATTCTGAGATTTAGGTCTGGATGAGAAATGAACTGAAGATGCCGATAGTGTTTGAGAGAGAAGGGCATGGAGAAGGCATGTCAGGAAAAACAAGTAAAAGTTCTTATGCTGCTAATTAGATGACCATAAGTAAATGAAAGCAGTTACCTGAAGTACAAATTTGGACAGAAAGAGAACTCTGAAGGTGACATCAATTTGAGAGTGAGTTATATAACAATAATTCAACTTTAAGGCAGGTAAGATGACACAGGTAACTTGGCTTCTTTCTTCATGAATAGTAAAATCCTGTAGAAAGCTGCAGTGGCTGAAGAGGGAATGGTAAAGCTGAACTAGAGGATGTACTGAAAATACAGTTACAATGCTGAGAAGAACCAGGAAAGACTAAAAATGCAAAAACTGAAGGAATCCAAAATTTTGAGACAGAGGTGGCTGTCTGTGTCACTGTTGTCCTAGAGATTAAATAAGGTCTGGATGCAACACTTGTTTTATGCAAGGGCTAGAGTCCATGTAAAATAAGGAGGAATTCCTTGATGAACAAGCAACGTCATGGATCTTACCTGTACGAGGAAGATAACATATATTTACTGACTCTTCTTTCCTCATTCCCCTTCTGCATTTACCATCAAACTAATGAGAGATAAGTGATCTTGTTTCTATATTTTCATGTAAAATATGAAGGAATGATTTATTTATTTTCCCCCTTCTTCTCCTGAAAGAGGAAGGTTGGTGTTCTGTTTTTTCTTTTTTTATTTCTTTTGTCCCCATGAATAATAAAACTCACTAGGTGGCAGTCTATGCCTATAAATAGTTATATTGATACAAATTGATAGTTCCTTTTCAAATACTTCCATAGAGGTCAAGGTCTAAATATCACCTAATATTATAGTAGGGAGAATTTAGTGTATTATACTCAATAGTAGTACTATACAGATGTTGGTTGCTACCCAGACTGTTACTGGAGTCTCTGTGGGGAGAAGAAATTTGCTTTTGGAATACATCTGTCATCAAATCTAAATTTTTCTTTTTCTTTTTTTTTTTTTTTTTTTTTTTGCCAGAGGAGGTATTTAAGCCTGAGTGTAGAGAAATGTCGTCAGATAAACACAGCTAGAGGCCTATTCTACTAAGTGAAAAAAGTCCGGCTCATTGACCTTGTAAGGAAATAACACCTAATATTTGATCAGATTAATTTTTGACATGCTGACCAGATTTTGTTTAGAAATGTTTAATTGGGGAATCATATGTCAACAAGTCAGTATGTGGAAGTTTATTTTGCACTATAGCTATGATTTAGGTTAGTATGTTTCTTCCTATACATCTCATGTATAGGAAACAGGCAATTCCATTTTTTCTGGCATTGCTTTGCTGCTCATGATCCCTTTGCATTAACTAAATGCTTAGAAATCCATTGCTGAAAATGAGCAGAGTCCCTGAAGTTTTTATGTGGAGAGTTCCCTTTGGATAAGGGAAGGGAAATAAGTCTTGTACGGTTTTTCCTTTGTCCCCTCTCTCTGGTCTTGCACACTGGAAGGCATATTCTTGTTTTATTTCTTGTCTCCTTCTCCATCACCCCCTGCCAGATTTTTGATTGTCACTGTTTTGAAGAGGTTGCATACTCTAACCTGTAGAGTATCTTTTTTGAAGTAACGAATGTCTGCTATTCCATAGTCCTACTGTCTGGAGATGTGTCCTGTGTCTAAAGCAAACATGTAAACTGCAGGATTGATAGCTTGCTTCCTTGTCTACTGTATTTTTGTAGCCTAGTTAATGTGTGTAAACATGTCTTCATGTTTGTGTTTTGTTTTTTTTATATTTTTCCCCCCAAAGGGAAGTACATTATTACTTTTGTTTTCTGAATGAAATAGTCTTTGAGTCTGCAGATGGATATGAAACAATGATCTTGGAGTGTGAATACATCTCCTATTGCTCTGCCTGAAGTGTGAAATAAAGTTGCAGCATGTAGAGATCAGTATCATCCACATGACAAAAATATAGAGGAGATCAGAGTTAGGGATTAGATGACAGGAGGTAAAGAAATGGGAGAAAAAAACCCAGGGGATAAGGTGAAAATAGAGAAAGTGGACAGAAGGAAAGACTCAGTACGAGAATAGCAGAAATAGTGATTGACAAAAAAAGCTACTTGGAAGAATGCCAGAGCAGGATTTTTTTTTTTTTTTTTTTTTTTTTAACTTGAGTATTCTCTCTGCCATTCTCCAAACACTTAGACCTTGAGGGCTTCCTTACCTAGAAGTGCCTCTGTGTAGTCATTTGCCTCAGTCAAGATGTGTCTTTAGTACTGTTCTGGTCAATGCTTGAAGGGAGGCTCTAATGTGCACTTACTGCCATGTCAAAAACCTGTCTAGCAAGGATAAAGATCAAGAGCTTTATGGCTATTTCAAAGCTTGATATTCTGAGAATGTGGAATAGGAGCTGTCTTTTCTCAGGACTGAGAATGCAACAGAAGTGAGATTGGCTTGGTAGGTCTTTCCCTATAATAGTGCTTTGGGGAGACTGAGTTTATTTGTTTGTGTTCACTTTTATAGATGAGATTTGAGTAGGTGATAGAAACCAAACCCAGAAGAACTGGAGTAGTTGAATAAATTTTAAAAATTGAAATCTTAGATTGAGTTATTGCCCATGTTTGTTATCATCTCAAAAAGTGATATACATCTTTAGTAATTCATGTCTCTTTGCTATCAGATATTTATGTATAGGCTGTTTGATACTACAGCTGTTTGTAGGTCTTATCAATTACATGCAGATAATATTATAGATGCACAAATGTGTATGTATGTGTTTGGATAGTATGTTTCAGTCAAGTTACGTTTCACTCAGAAGCTGGAAAGTTACTATGCTTGCCAAAAAATTTGCACTATAGAGAGGAAAGTTGACCTAGTAAGGAAACATGAAAGACTAAAACTTAGTTTTTCTTGTTGCTAAGATTTCAGGCAAGTCTGGATAGCCAGGGAACCAGCAGTTTCCTGCTACAACAGGAATAGTGTTTGAGCCTTATGTCTCTTTAACTATAGACAGATTGTGGTTTATTTTTCGCTGGTATATGTGATGTCTAATTAGAGTTCATTAGAGCTTTTCATGTTTCTTACTCCAATCACTTCACTAGTCCTTCTGGCTACACTATTTCTGATATAAGCCAGGATGCCAGTTCATTTGCAACTGTTTGGAAATATGGGTAGAATGTGAATGCTTTGAATGGAAATCTTTATTTTAAAGATTCTCTTAGTTCCTGGAGGATGCCACTGTGGTGTCTCCCACCAGAAGTAAGTGCTTGCCCAGGGTAGAAGACACTTGGCCTCAGTTCTGTCCCTGGGGAGTTCTGAACTTACTCCCAAAAGAGTTGGCTAAGGTATCAAAGTTGATCTCTGTAAAGATGCAGCAGAAATGTTTTTGACAGCGGTTGGTCTTTTGAAATGTTTTGGAATGGATTTGTCTTTTGCTCATATGATTCATTTGTCACTGTTTGGGATCTTCTGTGTGACAGCAGAATGAACAAGAGGAAGATA